TATATTATTATTATTAATAATAATAATTTGATCTACGTCCGTGTGTATGAGTGAATGTTTGTGTGTCTGCATGTCTCCTGTGTGTCTGTATGTGTGTGTGTGTGTTCATTCGTGTGTTTATAAGAAAAAAAAACAAAAAAACGCTTTATTGATTATTAATCATGCGTCGTCGTTGTTTATTAAAATAAAAAGTATAGAAAGAGATAGTAGATGTATTAGAAATGATTAGAATTAGAAGAACAAATTTCTTTCATGCTTTTTATTGATATTCCTGAATCTTTTTTAAAGAAAGAAAGAAAGAAAGAAAGAAAGATTTGTGTGAAACATTAAATATGAAGAAGAAAAAAAGAAAAAGAAAAGAAAAGTAATAATAATTAAAATCATCGTTGTACTTATTCGATTATAATAATAATAATAATAATAATAATAATGACGGCTAACGAGTTTTCTTTTTGTTTTTTTTTTTGTATATATATATATATATTTTAATTTATTTATTACTTTAATAATTTTTTTTATTCTTAATTTTACTTTAATTGTTTTATTTTATTTTATTTTATAGAATATATAAATGAATGGTACCACATTATATTAAATTACAATAATTTTCTATTTTATTAAATATTAATCGATTAATTATTATTAATTATTATTTGAAAGTCGTCTATCGTTCGTATTTAATTAAAATTAATAAAAATTAAAAGTCTCTTTATTAATTTTATTAGAAATTATATTATAAATTATATTTTAGTGTCTCTCGTTCGTATTTAATTAACAATTAACAATTAAAAATGTCTCGTTTATTTTTAGTTTTAATAAAAAAAAAATAATAATGAAATTATTTATACAATTGGTAATGATTAAAAAAAAAAAAAAAAGAAACAAAAAAATATAAAAAGCAAAAACAAAAATGAATAAAACAAACAAAAAAAGAAATTCGTTAACTGCATACACCTATATTGTATTAAATATTATTATTATTATTATTATTATTATATTATTTTAATATTTAAAAAGAAAAAAAACTATAAGAGAAATTATCTCTCGTATTGTTAATAATAAAATTAATTAATTAATTAATAATAATAACCGATTATGGTAATGAGATAATAGGCCTATGGTTTTTCAAGGTCCTGTGTACAATATAATAAATGTTTATTATAAATAATTATAATATAAGAGAAATGTTATATAATATTGAATTAAATATTTAGTATACATATATATATAAGATTTGTGTGAATTTTTGTATACACGTGTGTATGATCATATATACGTATGTATGTATGTTACGTGGTATTCGTTGCAAAATGGACAACGATCGCGGCTATTTTCCTACTATTTATTTTTTTGTACATACCTTTATTTTCATATTTATTTGTTAAATAAAGATCTTTCGATAATACGAGTTTTAAAGGATAATAATAATAATAATAATAATAATAATAATAAAACACGATAAAACGATCTTTGAATACCGTTAATAATATTAATAATAAATAATAATAATAATAAATAGTAA